CTGAGTAAGAGATTCCCTAGTTCTGGGTCAGCTGATGTGATGAAGAGTATTATTGAGGGGAAAATATACAAGCACCCACATTTTGAAAGAGTTTTTACATAAATATACTGTATAAAACTTCTCCAAAACTCACATTACTGGGGGGGGGTGGGGTGTATTTGTTGAGCGCATCTAAGTTAAAAATCTACAGCCACAAGAAAAGAAATAAAATCCTAATGCTTGCTTATTACAGAAAATATTTCCTGGAGTAAGGAATCAGCTTTGTAATCCCAAGCAAAGCGTGACATATCTTAGCACCATAATGGAGCCCTTGAGATTAAATTTATCCATGTGTAATAAAGCTGGTTTTAATGGTGTTCCGTTGCAGCATGTTCTTCTCTTTTGGCACTTGAATTTGGAAATAGGAGGAACAGTCTGAGTTCATCATTTTCCAGACACGCTGCACCAGAAAAGCAAAAAGTATTTGAGGTGCCCTCATGGTACTGAGCTTCTAAAACATTGAGATGGCACTGCAGCTCTGCTGAATTCAATTATGCACCCTGAAAAGACCAAAGCAGGCTTTTCAGGTGACCAAATGTTGATTATTGCAGCCCAACAGCGTCTGGTTTGCCTTCAAAGAGCTGAGACGGTGTTTGCTCCACACCACACGACTAGGGACTACAAGAGGTTGAAGGTTAAAGCCAAGGAATGGTGACTTTCCAGTTTAAGGCAAATTAGCTGTTTACCCAGAGTGAAATACGAAGGGGGGTTAGGTGTCTAAGTTACTGAGAAACTTTGTAAACCCTAGCAGGCATCCAAATACCTCTGACAGTGTGAGTCAGGCCATCTCAGCCAGGATACGCATTTGCTAGATGCTTCACTGAAGGACAGGGTATGTAACCATTTGCCCTGATTTCAGAGGTTACTGAGGGCACACAGCATTTCTAGGACGTTTTCTGCACCTTGCAGGACCAAACTATCAAGGGCTATAGCATATGGTTAACACGGTGGAGCTGGAGACCCTGAAATCCTTCTCAGAGCTGAGGCCATCACGCCTCTGAGAGGTAGAAAAAGCCAAGGTTTGGTCATCCTGGCATCGAGAAATAAAAGGGAGTGTGGATGTGAGATGTGTTTTCAAGCTGGAAAGGGAAGAAGAGCTCTGAAACCAAAGACAGCATTTTTCTTCAAGGTGTGATAAGCACATCCTTGACAGCATGAGGAAGGCAGGAGAACCAGCCAGGGAATCACAGACATTCCTCTAAGTTAATGCTTTAATTCAATTTCAGAGACTTGTGCTTTGGGCCTGCAGACTGGGAACTGGCTGATTCTGTCAAGGTAAGTGCTGAGGGGTTTGGGAAGGGAGCAGGGACCTGCCCATGGATCTGTTTGACCTGACTGAGTGCAATCTCAAAAGAGGCCAGAGCAGATGAAGATGGGCAGGTACCACACACTCTTCAACCCCCTACTTTTGCTCCAGAAATGCCCATCCTTGGTCCTATGCCTGAAGACAGGCCGGTAACAGGTGCCTGCACACTCTTCTTGTGGGAGCAAAGTGGCCTGTGTAAATGTGCTGAAGTTCAGCATCCAACAGCCCAAAAGCAACAGCGGGGTTGCTCCTCAGCCCTTGGTCATGGTCTTGGAAGGTCATGAGGTTGGCACTTCACAATGGCAGCCTTTTGTAGCTGATAACACAATAAACTTCAGGCCTGGATGCCAAATTCAGAACAGGGAGGGCGGGAGAAGATGTGGCCTAACCAACGTCATCAGTGTATCTGTGAAGTTGCACCAGCTCTAATTTAACTCAGAACTGGAGCCAGACCAGTGGCTTATACTTCTACATTGCAAAGTAAAGTGATATTTTACCCTAGCAAGATTGGGTTTCCAACACTTCCTTTGAAGTACACTACTGCAAAGCCTTGCTAATGTTGCAGAACTGAAAGGAAGTCCAGGCAAGAGCAAGTAGTTCCTTCCGATCTCTGCTCAAGCTATAAGTGACAATCTGAGCATGCCGTCCTGCAAACTAGAAGAAATAATAAAGCATTTACAACCCAAAGCAATTTTAGGATAAAGATTTCAGGTTATCATCTTCTCTGAAAGGACAGAGAGTGATAAATGAGACGACACTGAAGAACAATAAACTGAAAGACAAATGGTGAGGAGAGAGAAACCTGAGGAAATAAAAGAGCCAGCGCAAGTTAAATTAAAACTCTTTTTTTTGTTTGTTTGTTTAATAGGCGAGTTTTAAATATGATTTAACTTCCCTGAACAATCAGTAAAGACTCCCATGTGCTGGGCTCAATGCTTCACCCAGCCCCTGCTTGGCCAACAACAGAGCTGGGTGCTCTCAGATTCTGCGGCTATCTGCTCCCCGACCATGCCTCCACGAGTAGTTAGCTGCCATAGGAATATCTACAGTTACAAGGTTGATGCAGAAAACAATAATGTTTTTGCAACGCATCCCAGGAAGCATTAAATGTCTCTGACAAATCCCAGTGGCCAGAAACTCCAAGAACACCAGAGCAGCAAAGGATGCTCAGAAGGTGGATGTGGTAAGTAAAGGACCAGTGCCAGGATGCTGTTCAGCAAACAGCCATTCTGCTTCCCTTCCTTGAAATGTCCTCACACGCCAGTTCTCCTGACAGCAGACTTTTAGGGAGCTATCTCCTACTGTTACACCAGCCATTGGAGGGACTGGGCTGAAGCAAGGAGGAGCTGGGAAATGCAACCTCCCTGTTTTTCTCAGCTGTGGTCTCATTTTGCTGGGCACAATCCTTTTGTCTTCAGAGATGAAACAAGGAGCAACGTTTTCAGAGGGACCCAAAGTAGTTACCAAACCAGCTGCATAGACACAGTCCACGGCTACTATCAGTAGGAAATCTGGCCTAAAACCCAGCCCAGTTTTTGAATGTCCGCACCATGACAGAATCCTATTCCTGGATTTTTGAGAAACAAAAGAAAACTATATGATGCAGAGGTGAGTATTTTTCCCTTCAGTTGATTAAAACTTGAATAACAACACCTTCATTACAGGACAACAGCTGAGAACAGATCCAATCCTGCCGATCTCCCATGTAAGATTTTTTTTTATGAAGTCTCAGATGTTGGTAGGATCTGGCCCAGCCTGCAGCAGCTGCACCCGTCACACTCCTCAGTGGCAAATCAGGAAACCCACTGAAAGAGACCAGAAGTTCCTCAGTGAAGCATGGCAAACGCAGTCAATACTTCTTGCCTAACACATGCTCTAGGGCAGATTCAGATGTAGTCCACAGTATTTATTTCTCAGGCTTTCCCCCTTTAATCCAAAGAACTTAAGGAGGAAACTGATGAAGGACAAAGCAGCAGTTACAGGCTGGTGTTAGTCAACAGGTTCTTCTGAGCACACAGTGGCCAGCAGGATTATCTGATCCGAGTCTGCTGTCACCAGGTGGTATGTGCTTGAGGTGGGGGTTATCTGGCCATAAACACTGGCTTCAGATTTAGGGCTAGAAATGACAGTTCCTTTTTGAAGAGGTCCTCACTGAGTGGACTTTGGCATCACACCATTGTAACAGAGCTGTGTACAGTTTCCAAGCTGAGTTCCCTGTGGCCAGGGAACATGGGTCTGTTTACAGTTTGAGAACAAAAGTCTGCTGAAGTCAGTGGTTTCCTATGAAATCAGGCTAAAACTTAGCACAAACCATCCAATTCATTTTTTTAGGGAGGGATTCACTCGCACCTTAAAGTTGGAGCAAAATTCAGACTTGGTCCCAGTTTGTTTCTTGTTTTTCGAAGAATTTTACATCACTGTGATACCGCCAACCTCTGCTGAGTTACAGCAAATTCAGGCTCAACACGTGGGCCTAATGGGGTCGTATGTCCCTGCAAAGTAAATGGGAAGTACCTTCTCCTATAAACACAACTGAGGCAAAACCAAGGTGTCCGACCCATTTCTTCACCCTCTCAGGTGCTTACCCTGCTTGGCCCGAAGCAAGCCCCCAGTTTCACTAGCCAGAGTGCCACTGGGACAATCTAGGGGCTTTATATAGACTGTGTTGGGCTGGATCCTCAGCTCATCTAAAGCACCGTGGCATACGCACTCTGAAAAGATTGATGCTTTTTGTTCTGACCTAGCAACCATATTCATGAAGGTGCAAACATGACCAGCATTCACTCAACACTCTCATCATTAAATCTGAATAGCCTGGGTTTTTTTCACCCTGTGGGGCTCAAAGTCAGGTCTTTAAAATGACTTGGATTTAAGAGGATGGGCTTGACTATGAAAGCTTTCACGCATGTTCCTGTACAAGAATGCAGTACTGTACAGACCCCATCACAGAGACATGCAGCTTATTGTGCACAGCCAGCGTGGCTCAGGATGCATTACTGCACACTCGGTCTTGTTGCACCCGTCAGTTCGCTGCAGCTTTGTCTGACACCGTACAGAGACTGTGGGTTGAGTTCTCTTTCATAAATCACTCAGGAACAACAAACTTTTCCCTTTTGTGAGACTGGAGAGGCAGGAGAAAAAAAGTCCGTTGATCACTAAGATCAAACTTGCAGTAAACCCCAGGTAATGCTACAAATGATCACTTATATTTCAATATGAAAGAAGTGTGTCAGAGTTGGCTAAAAGAAATGTTCATGTCCAGAAATTGTCCTAGACAAACGATCATCATCTGCAAATGTCCAGTCTTTCTCCTTGGGAATGTGCCTGCCATCGGTAGCTTTGTTGTAACGAATGACAAACCATCTGATCCGTGCTGGCCTTGCATCACTGTGTAACGGGTTGGCAAGGCTCATGAGGAGAGATGCCAGCAGTCTTCTGATGTGCTTTACAAGTACAGAAAAATTAGTTCAATTTGTTGCTAGTTTTCTGTTGTGAGGTGGTTTTTTTTCTTCCCTACGGATTAATTCCCAGTGCTTCCAATTCCATGTGTTCTTGGAAAAGAAAAGGGATAGGGGAAAAAAAACCCTTGAACAAGCTGAAATGTTACAAAAGAGAGGGAACAAGAGGGAGCACAGAAAGAAACTGAGAAGTGCAGTCAGTTGGCGTATTGTGCATAGAAAGCAACTTTTACTCGCTCGATCTGGTGACACAGTTTGATGGCAGGACCAAGCTTCAGCTCCATGCATTCTTGCACCGTGGGCAGTGTCAGCAACAGAAGGGCTTGGCCATCAATGTCCTAGGGAAGAAAATACCGGGAAAATGGTTTTCTTTGTGGACTCTGGAGGGCAGAAAGGATAATCAGGCCTGGAGAAGCAGGAAGGGAAGTTTGCCCCAAAAATAAAGGCGATTTTGTCCTCTGCCCTTTATCTCACTTCGATGCTACCACCTCTCTCGGATATCTCATGGGTTTTCAGAAGTTGTCTAGTGTGTCCTCATAGCCTCTCACCCTGCCCCCGGTTTGGGAAAAGCCTCCCAGCTGCTGAAATGCAGGATCACCTCCTAAAGACACTCTGCAGGGTACACGGAAATCTGATTAGTCCCATTTTATGACTGAGGAACCAAAACAAGGGGGAGGCTGCAGAGAGCATACCAGGAGACACAAGAGGGAGCTGAATGGAGAAACTGATGCTGGGCCCACAGCCAAGTCAGATCCTTCCCCCACTTCTTTTGGCCCACGATTTGCTCAGCACACGTTTATGTCTGCCTTGCCATGGCCCCTGGTCCACCTGGGACCTGCCTTGTTCCTCTTCAGCTGCTGAAAACCCAAGACAGAGGGGCCTGGACCACCCGGAGCCCTTGCAATCTCTAATGTCCCAGAATCACAGAATGGTATGGGCTGGAAGGGACCTCTGGAGGTCACATCCTCCCCTCAGGTGTATCTAGGCACTAAACTCCATGAACTAGCACCCCAGACAAAAGCCATTTTATCAGGGATTTCTGTTGGCTTTATGATCCTTTTCTTAATTAAGAGCTCAAGTCCTCTTTATTCTTTAATGGACTGAGAAGCAGACAAGCAGCCTACAAAACTGCTTTTTATCCCTCAGGGAGGATCAGTCTAAGTGCAGACAAAGCACTGTAACTCAGAGGCAACATAAACTCCCTAGGACAGCCCTGATTAGCTAGCATTAAACATAAGGAGGATTTGGACACCTTAAATGCTGCTTTGATCAGAACTGTCCACAGCTCAGGTTCTTCCTCCACTGAAGCTTGATGGCATGGCCCACTGCACCAGAGCTTCCTTGCAAGTCACAAGGAAAAGCTCCAGTCATCTGTGTTCGATTAAATTCCCCATAAAACTCTTTGGCAAAGGAGAGACAGGGTTGGCTTTCAAGCCTTGGCATTATTCCAGGCTGGTTAACACACGGTTGGAGCATGCTGCGACGCAGCGACTACAGCATCTTGCTACGGAGTGTTTCAGCCTTGCTCTAGACTCTCAGCTTCTCCCAGTCAAAGAGCTGTACTCAGGAACAGACTTATTCAGGGAGAAGAATCAGAGACAATCAATGTGCAGTTGGCCATACCACTGACTGCCATCAGCTATGGCTTAATTAACCACACTTGCTTCTTTCTAACTATGATTTAGCGCTGCTCTTTACTTTCAGCAGCCACTGTTACTCATTAGCCAAGGAATGGCTGTTTCTATATAAATTTTACACATTCACACTCATTTGAGATGAAGAATATTGGCTTCTGCTCCTGCAAACCTTTCTGCTTAATGGGGAGATGCCTGGCACCTCCTGAAATTAGGTTATCCAAGGGCCTGACTGCCAGATCTTCAGAGGGATGTAGATGGGAAGTAGGTGTCTACATAATCAAAGCATCTAGGTGTTAGTGACAAAATTTCAGGCAGCCAGTTTTGGGTTCAAGCAGCAGTTTTTCTGCTTCACAGGCCAATATTTTAAAAGGGGGTGGAACCCATGTGGCCAGGAGAGGCAGCTTGCTAGGTACCAAATCACCACTATCTGCTGGTACACTGAGGTGCCTGTGTGACACCAGGATGGTGCTGTGGACCTTGGCATGAACAAGAAAGGTCTAAACCTCCTGCTTTTCACAAGCACTCCGGCTGGGGGTTTTCTGGTCTCTCTGAGGATGTGGCAAGGCTCTGATTCAAGTCTCTGAGGATTTCCATGCCTTGCTAAAAGTTCGAGCTACAGATTGGCCTGAATGGCTCTAAAGTCTGATCATAATCTCTTTGCCAAAGCCCCAGGCCCAGCTAGCAAGGTGGTGTGGGCTGCTCTTTTTGTGTGTGATATGAATAAGCACCACAGACACAAAAGAGAAGAGTTACATGAAGACCTCTACCTGCTCCTGAAATATTTTGGCAAGGGGTGCACAGTCAGTCAGTTTAATAAACCTCACGACATCAGTCACAGTCCACTCCAGTGGATTACTGTCCAGGATGAGCTTCTCTTCTTCTTCTTGCTTAATTTCCTACAAAAAAAACAAAAGCTCTCACAAAGAGAACTACCTTGTGTAGAGAACCAGGGCACGGATGCCCTCCTCAGGTGAGGAAGGCTTGGCACTGAAGGGTAATTTAGAAAGAATAATGCTATTAATTGGGAGTGATAGTGGGACAGACTCACTTCCTTCACTTGCGTGCACTTCTCCGCCTCGCCATAGGAGTGGGGCTGCGGTCTCCGGCTCCGTCGGGCTCTCTCCGTGGGAGGAGGTCTGTCCGACTCGGTGCTGCTCCGCAAGGTGACCGCTCGCCGGGGTCTGGCAGAGGGGACCTCGGCAGAAGAGGTATCCGTCTGGTCATCCCGGAGCTCTGAGCTGGTTTCCTCACTTCCCGTCTCGTCCTCCATCGCATCCGGCTCGTCATCTTCGCTCTCCTGCACAAGGATCATCAGAGAAACAGCATCCAGGCTTGGAGATCAATACAGCAGCAAACTGAAAGGCACTGGGTCAAACTGCACACCCATGTCCATACTGGTCCAGGGTAACATTTATTGTAACCAAATTATCTCATTTTCATTACAGTGCTAAGTAGATTAGTTACAAAACGTAGAAGAAAAAACTACATGGTGGACAAATCCTTTTTCTGTTTCTAACAAAAGGTCAATGGCAATAACTCATCTGGCATGAAATGTTCCTCTGTGGGGCTTGCACCTCAAACCTTGTGGCACTGCAGATGTGCATGAGAAGGGGAAATGGAAAATCCTAAAAGGATAAAACAAAACTCAGGTTGCTTGAGAGGAAATAAAATCAGAAATAGGCTTGAATTTAAACCTTCACCTTGCTTCAAATTGTCATAGGTGTCACTGGTATTGAAAGCAAGGAAATTTTGGTGCCTTTTAAAAATATGTAGATATACAAGTGCATACTTGTACTTGATTCCTCAGCTGGCATTTCTGTGAAACCCAGGACTGAGGAATTCACCCAGATCTCCCTGCTTTCAGCCCAACACCTAACTGATGAACGTGAAGCACAAACTTCCATTTAAAGGATATTACACCAGATTCTTGTTATTTCTGTCACACAGAGCTTGCAAGCACACACCAACTGATGCAAACTGTGTATTTTGAACTTTATATATACACAAGTGGCCCAAATGCTTCGACAGCTTAGCTCTGATGAAAGTGTGAGCATGCATCCAAGCCATATGCTTAGTCTTAAGTGAAAGAGCAATTTTAGACAAAGTTAGTTACATTGGCTGGAAGGCTGAAAAACTTGGTTAATGGCTGATTTAGGCTTAACATGAGTTTAAATTCCTTTGAATCGGGTATAATCTAAGGAAATGAAGCAGAACTACACCTAAATGAGGACCAAGTCATGAAGATGCAAGCAATCAACTGAAAGCTGACTAAAATATCCCCCTCCAGCTGAAGTAGAGGGAATTTAAGTAAATCAGTTTTGTTTCACACTGCACAAAGCAGCAATCACTGGCACTCAGCTGAAGAAAGGAAACTACACAGGAACTTTGTCATCAATATCATGGGAAAACCACCTGGGAACGGTCCACACACTACTAAGCCTGCTCCAGGTTGTATTTGGACACTAATTGCTGAAGTTGGGACCGTGTCATATCACACAGCATACTGGAAAGAACAAGGCCTCAAATATCACGTATTTGGGACACAAACCATTTGCTTATATTCTAAAGCTTCTAGGACTTTTATTGCTTGATGCTGCGAACCAAACATATTACAAATGGTTAATGAAAAAAATAAAAGCCCTTGAAATCACAACGGCCCATGAGTTACTTATTATAATACTCGGAGATCTTAGACATGGATCACAGACCTCCTTCACTCTGCTAGATACTGTGCAAAGCACCTAACAGGCTCCTCTGCCTGCCTGAAGGCCTGTAAGGAAGCAAAAGAAAATAAAGATATAATATTAGACAGCATGTTAGCTAGTGAGCATTATGAAGGTGGGAACAAAAACTCTGCTAACTCCAGAATGGACAAGGGTAAAAGTCCCCGGAGTGTCCCAAGAAAACCAGTCTGACCGTAGAAGAACAGAGTAGCAAGGAGAGATTCAAAATGCAAAATGGAAGTGTTGAGGTTTGCTGAGAAGTCCTTCAAAAGGAATATGCACATGGGGGGACAAAAAAGCATCAAGAGGCTTTTGTTGATTTATGCCAGTGCAAGACACACCTCTGCAGAGCCTGCAGCATTCAAATCGACAGCTGACGACCTCCTCTTCCTCTGCACAAAGATGGATTTCCGTCTTTTTCTGCGTCTGGCTGGCTTGACACATCCACTTTTCATGTTGTTATTTTCCCCAATTGGTGGCTTAATGATTTTTTTCCTCTTCCCATAATAATAAGCTGGAGAAATGAAGCAAAATTTAACCATCAAGAGAAAGAAACTTCGGCTTGCTTCTTCCTACTGAATCAGTACTGCACTCTAGATGCAATTTTATGAGAAATTTTAAAACACATTGATTTGGAAAAAATGTCCAGTGTAAATGTAAGATGTCCTCTTGGACTAGTGCAGAATGTTACAGCTCTTATCTATACACATTTATTGGTGACGAGTGAGGACTTCAGAATTTAACCTTACAAGATATACTTAGGAAAAGCTTCCACCAAGCCGAGCAGTGATTTGGAGGGAGAGCGGCCAACATGTTCTAGATTTGACCCAATGCACTTCTGCATGAGGTAACAGGCTTAAATACACTTTTAGTTGCTTATGTTGTCAGCAGAGAATGAAACGGGCTAGACATCTTGAATTATGTATGTTTGTTCAATGCACAAAGAAACAGGGTTTTATAACCTTCGACTATTTTGTGGCCCAAGATGAAATTAAGGATGTGCGAGTCCTCTGACCTTACATTAGGTGCTTGTGTTAGATGCCTTTTGACATGCTCTATAGCACCCTCTGGGGCTGACAGATACTCTGCCCTTCACCAGCTATGGTATCCCAGGACAACTACAATGGTACTTGGCACTAACATCAAAGTTTGTAACTGAACCGAGCCCTTCATCCATCAAATCAATGGAGTTTTGAGGAACAATTCATCCAGCCACATATAACAACCAACTTTGAGATGAGACAATCTCAGCTGAAGCTCCCCTAGCTGTACCCCTCCAGCTCTCCATTTGCTACCAGTGGGAGCTCAGAGTTTAGCTCAGGTGTAGACTTCTACAGAAACCTGTATTCAGAGATCTTAATACCTCCCTGAGCCCAGTTCTTCTACTCTGGCACCAAACAGAAGCTAATTGGTTTAAATCAATCATAGTGGTTTCTTGCAACCTTTGTGGAAGAAGGACAGCACTCACTTCCACTTTCCTGACCTGTTTAAGAGCCACTAGTATCAGCAACATTGACAACAAAAACTGCTGAACACACGACTAACTTCAGGCTTCCTGAATAGATGTGGCTTTAAGCAACCTGGTCTGGTGGAAGGTGTCCGTGCCCATAGCAAGGGGGTTAGAACTAGATGATTTTTAAGGTCCCTTCCAACCCAAAGCACTCTATGATATTTTATGATTCAATGATCCAACGATATGAATGTGTTCAAATATTAAACACCCTGAGCAGAGAGAGTCAGTGCTACCAAACTCCTTTCAGCAGCTTGGCACTGCGATACTGGCCTGTCCTGGTGTGTATGCCAGAAACTCTTCACTAGAGTACGACAGGATTTATCCCACCTAACGAAGCTGTCCAGATGTAGCAGTTTGAATCTCAGCTGGCCAATGCAGTTTCCTTTTCTGTGCTCCTTATACTAACTTTAGATATGAAGAAAAGTCAAGACTTCCAAAAATTAGTGACTTTCAAACTAGTGGAAGGTGTCCCTGCCCATAGCAAGGGGGTTAGAACTAGATGATCTTTAAGGTCCCTTCCAACCCAAAGCACTCTATGATATTTTATGATTCAATGATCCAACGATATGAATGTGTTCAAATATTACACTAAGGGAGCCTACGGTGGCCCTGGCAGGATTAAATAACTTCTCTTAGATGAGATGAATTCTATTCAGTATTAACGTATTACACAACTCCCGTGTTTAATCACTATCTCATGCACAGTTTCCCACTGCTCTGATTCCGAGATAACAAGAAGCATTTTGGCCAATACTCACTGTACTTGGTTTTAGTATGAATGGAGCAGTTCTCCGGGCAGACTTCGGCCACCAGCACAGGACTGAACAAGTTGGGACAGCACTCCAACTTTGCACAGACTCTTCTGCAGAAATCTGCTACCTGATCTGATGTCCGCACAATCTTAACAGTCGCCCTGTACGTCTTCCCTCTGTATCTAAAAAAAAATACAGAACCCCATGTCACCAATCAAACAATGTCCTTTGACCGTACAGACCAGACTGTCCTCTGTTAGGGAGGTACCTTCCCGAATGTCTTTTGGGAGAATGTCCCTCTTGGGAAGGCAGGCAGAAAAAGTCTACTTGTTTTAGTGGCACCACTTCAGAAGGACTTGAGGAAGGAAAGGCAAGGTGAAATGAATCAAGAGGTGTGGACATCATTTGTGAAAGAATGCATGTGCAGACTGGATATATCTGTAGAGATGGCAAGAGATGGAAAAAAAATGACAGTAGGCTCGGTGAGGATACTACACAGGACAGCAAGCCCATACTATGAACTGATGCAAAGTTTTGGGGAGAGGGATGTAGTCTCTCTTCATACATTGGCCTGTGATGAGAAGCTTATACACCTTGCAGAACTTTCTGGTCACCACCCTGTGTTTAGGCTGCACTGGAGACCATCTCTATAAGTCTCCATATAGAGGAGTGAAAACCTTTGGTCTTCACTGCCTCTACAGAAAGCCTTTGGCCTTCTCCATTGCCATCCTTCTCGAGGCAGCTCTCATATCATGTTCCAGCTCACAAGCAGCCCATAGTTTTGTTGTACCAACTGTGGTTATCAGGATACACACACTGTGTAGAAGTATCTAAGTGAAACTGTACTGTCTGCCATACGAGGACCAGACAATTTCACCACTATGAGATGCAGGCAATGCAAAACCCGAGGAACTAATCAAGAGTCTCTTGAGTTGTTTAACAGAGCTGCAGCAACAGGCCCTAAAAACTGATTTCCACAGGGAAAGCTTAAGAGCAGAAATCTGCAATGAAAGGTTTGTCTTAAATTTGTTATCCACGTGCTACTAAAACATTTATTTCAGTGTTTTATATGAAGTGTTTCTGAGCGATGAATGGCTAAGAAAGATACAGTTATATCCCTGCTGTAATACACTGTAGATGTGAACTCTGAAAAACCAATTATCCCCATAATTTATTAAACAGCAGCACCAAGCTAAGATAAGGTTTTTAAAACATCTCTTATGCGTCCTGAGGAACGTAACACGAGAGACAATCACACGAGCATCTGGTGCTAAGGCATTATAAATGTGCTTAGAGGAGGGAAAAGTAACACACACAGAAGAAAAAGAGGGAGAGACAGTGAAAGAAAGATTACTGGAGGGGAGGCAATGAAAGACAAAGACAGTCATCAGAAAAAATGAGACAAAGCATTTGCGAGCGCATTAAGACCCACAGTTCCCTAGCAGGGAATCAGCTGCCGATAGTCAGATATGGAAGAGGAAGAGGAGGAAAAGATGAAACAAAGGAGATGTGGCCCAAGAGTTAAAATACACAGCATGTGCCCAGACCCTATTGCCTCTCTGAAGGTTTTACTGAGTTGCACAGAGCAACTGAGAAACCACCTTTTGCTGCTCTTGCTCCCAAAAGCTCTTTCTGGAAACACTGGGGTGTGGGAAAAGGGTTTGAAACTCTGGTACATAAAGTGTTATAGACAGGTACCCAAACGAAACTTGGGTCTGAGAAGAGCCTGGCCCAACCATCCTCATGTTGCAAAAGATTTGATCCAAACTATCATCTCAACACAAAACTCTTCCACAATCTAAACGAGTATTTCTGCAAAGAACCAGGCTCTGATACTCCATTTGGTGCCCAATCAAGGACCCTAGGTCACGGAGGCAATCCTGGATTCATTCATCCGAATGAATGAATGACTTCATTAGCCAACTCCTCAAGCACCCCAACAGACCTGGACAGATGATGTAAAATGGAAAAAGTGTTCCTTCCAGGTACAGAGCACTGTTATCCCAGCTCCCCTATGAAACAGCTGCACAGGTTGGCTGGACAAAGAGGGTTTGGCAATACCTAATATCAAATCAAAAGAACAAATTCCACAGGCATTTAAATATATCTACTTAAAACGTTTTACATTTCTTTTCCATGTGCTTTAAAGGACTCCTGCTCTTATTACTTCTCCAGGAGCCATTAAGTTTAACAAGAGCCTAGATCATTAGGCCAGGAAGTCTGACTCCTGTGACAGGTTGCAGAATTCCGTTGTGTTCCCTTCACCTGAATGCCAGCAACTTTGGTTGGACTGAAGCATCACCTTCAGAGAAGCACCAGCCTCCCTTCGAGCTTCTCCTCACAGAATCCTGGCAGTGGGAGCACCTGCACATATACCTCATGAGCCTATGCCTCATTTTATGTCTGGATGTGTCTGGATTTAACTTACATTTATTTGTCCTTGTTCTGACTTTCACCACTAGGATGAAAAGGCTGCATCTGGTTTTGTTTCCCTGCAAAAGCACTCTAATCAAATTGCCTCTTGATCTTCTTTCTTATAAGCCAAGAAAGCTGCCTGATGGGTATTATTCAAGGATGGCTGACTTTTTCTAACTGTGTGCTTCCTATTATGTTTGGCTGCCCAGAAAGGACCCATTGTACTAAAGTGCCTGGTAAAAGAAAAAGATGAAACTAGGAAAATGAACAACTGACCGATTTCAGTCTGGTTTGAACGCAGCACACACAGTAATTAATTAGCAGGACCGATGGCAAAATAGGGATCAACGTGATGGCAGCAATCAGTCTCAATAACCCAAGGTGTTAGTACTGGCCGCAGTAATATTTTTTATATGATTTTGGGCTTGGCAGCACCTCTTTCAACTATAAACCAGGTTCTACTAATATTTTCCATATTCCTCACACACTAAAGATTTTTAACACAAACACCACCAAATGTAACCTGAGCTGTTCTAGGGCAGCCATGCGGAAAGAGCTCCTTTGGATATAACCAGAAAACCCTTTTCCATTATTATCATTTAAAAATTACCAACTACTGATATTTCTATCTATGTTTTCATACTAGGACTCCTATCTTCCCAACCACTTATAAGCAGCAAGTAACCTGCACGCACACCATGGCAGCACTGGAGACTTGCACAACAGCTGCGTCAAGCATAACATTTTCAGTTTTCTTAAAAATCACTGTTCTTTTAAAAAAAGATTTTTCAGCTAAAGCCAAAGAAATGTTCCTTTCCTCTCCCCGCTTCTCTGCACTCAGATCCCAAAAACTGGAGAAACCCTTGTGGCTGAAACTATTCCCACAAAAAATATATTTGGGATCTTTGCTGATCTATGAGCAACAGTATTAAGCAAATAGCAATTTGCTGGCAATACCATTCTTCTGTTGAAGATAAAATAGATCAGAGGTTCATGAGAACAAAATGTCTTCTAGGAGCTCCAGTTAGGGACCATTGTGTGATGACACAAAAATTCCTGTGCTGAAGATACTTCAAGAACAATGAGGCTACCCTCATTTTCAAAAATGTCACCATAAGGATTCAGCCCATAGTTCTGAAAATCCCTGGCAGTGGCCAGAAGCCTCGATATCCTTTTGGGGGACCAAAACCTCCTATCTATTCTCCTGCAAGAAATTTCCAATTTGTCTTACTAGCTTAAAGTCTGCCAAACATGAGTAATTACCTTCCTCTCAGTTAATCATCCAGTAACATTCTGTTCTCTTGAAGACAGGATTCAGAAAGGGCCCTGGAATTGTTCTGGTTCTAAGGACATGTCTTGTTAAGTCTCCTCCTGACTATGGAAAGACAGGGTTTAAGTCATTCCACTGGTCCTGATGACTTCTATCTCCAGTATTTGGCACAGAAGGCCACCTGGTCACACTAATTCACCCCTGAAATGCCTCAAGAAGTATGTGGCAGGGCTGATGCAGAAGACGAACCAGATCATATGAGCTGTAGATTTGTACTGACCTTTGAGGAGCACTGTCAATCACTGGCTGCTATTTGGACTGCATATCATTGATTGCAACCCTTTGGGTTCAGTTGTCCAGTCAACTTTCCACTCATCACGCATAGGTTTAATCGACATCTCCACAGCTTGGCTATAAGGACACTATGAAAGACTGTCTCAAAAGCATTACTAAAATCAAAGTAAGTAACTGCCACTGTTTTTCCCTCAACAACCAAACCAGTTATCTCATCACATCAGGCACAACTCGCCCTTTGTAAATCCATGCTGGTTCTTGCCAGTCACCTATTGGTCCTGCATGTTCTTGGAAACAGCTTCCAGGACGATTTGCCTAATAATCTTCCCAAGAACGTTAGGCTTACAGCCTGTAGTTACTTGGACTCTCCTTCTTGCCCTTCTTGAGCAGGAGCGTGATGTTTGCCTTTTTCCAGACACCAGGAAACTTCCCTGATCATCCTCAACTTTCAAACATGACAGCAAGTGGCCCTGCAATGACATTGGCCAGTTGTCTCAAGCAGAGCTGGCTGCCTACCATCTGGTTCCATGCACTTGTGCACATCTGGTTTGCTTATAGGGTCTCTAGCTTTGTTTCCACTTACTGTGGGTGACGCTTCACTCCCTCAAAGAACAACAGGGACCTGGGAGGCCTGAGAGCAACCCTTGCTAGCAAAGGCTGAGGCAAAGAAGATTTTGAACACCTCAGCATTATCTTCCACCAGTGAAAGGCGGTCTTCTAAAGCATCCACAGTGAAAAGACTTTCTTTGAAATACAGCCTCACAAATAAGCAATGGTGTCTGTGATGGGGGTAAATATTCCTAGAGTTCAGCTGCTGGATTTGGGCACTCCCAACATTTCATTTAATGGAGTCCAGGAATACTCACCTTTCTTATTTTGATTAACTGGGCTTCATACAAGACCCAGGAGATAAACAGTATCACTGTGTGCAGAGTTATGTCCAAAGTCCTGCAAAAATGGGTAAGCCCAGCCCCAGTTACAGCCCTTAGAAATAAAATCCCTTAAAAAACACAAAGTCCCTCAAGCATTTTATGTAAAATTGGGATGCCAACATCAAGATGTAGGCACTGAACTTAAAGCATCAAAACTATAAGGCTTGAACGCCTACAGCTTCAGCTGGCCCTCACGGGAATTCAGAGGATCAAGCCTGACATTTCTAACCCATCATCACCAACAAATCAGGTTTGACTATTTTCACAGAGAGGCAGCAGCACTGATGGGAAGCGACTGCCATCACGCATTGCAGAGACATCTCTTTGGACAACCTAAATTGTTTATCTTCTTTGCAAGGCGAGTGTAATTGATTCGGCGCTGGTCACTCAAGACAGCAGAATAAACTAAATGCAGGTTGCCCTAGGACTGAGATAATGCATTCCTGGCAGTGCATGATTTGGCATTTGGGCCAGCGAGAAAAACATCCTGCTCTTCCCCATCCTCCTCCCTCCCCTTTGCTCTACCCTACTGCAGCAGTCGCTGCAAACAAACAACAACATTGTCAAGATCCAAGGAGTTGTCAGTTTACATCAGAAGGAAGGCGGTGACGCGACATGTCACATTACAGCGCAGACGCTCCAGCTGGCTGTAGAGCTGTCATCATTAGCAGCAAGACACCACCGGGAGCCGGTGTAGCTGGAAGTCGGTGTAGACATGCGTTCGCTCATTACGGGTCTCTCTTTAAGATTCTGGAGCACAGCTGACTGTCACACCTGATGTAACGTGTCATGTGCCGTTTGTACATCCCAGGCTACCTGATTGCATGAGCGTGTTTTCTGCTTCTGCACAACCAAATGCAATTAAACCCTTGGTATGCTTCTTGACGAAGCAACTCAAGCAAACTCAGGAAGGGAAAAAGAAGGAAGTCCTAAGGTAGCTAGACAGTCTTAGGGCATGTCCACCCTCTGTCACCCACTCTTAGAAGTACCCAAACTACCCACAGACAAGCTGGTACGGCGACTGAGCACTGCTATGCGAACAGAGCTCCAGCCCCAGAAGCCAGACAGCTACAGCAACAAGTGTTGTCCAGCTCCATGAGCTCTGCCTCCTCAGGAGCCAGAGGACAACGCCACACTGAATGATAGACATTGATATGAACAGAATTCACTCCCAAACTTGCTGCCCCAGCTCTGAGCCTGTAATGATCCATTCTGTGGCTTGATAAAGTTGAAAGATGCTGCTTGACTCACTGAAGAGGTGAGGTTGCTGCCTCCTGGGGTATCCATCATACAGGAACATGTACACAGGCTGGCCAACATAAAATACAGAGCCTCCTTGCTGGAAAGCAGTGGTATACTTTTATCTGGCAGGCTATGTAGATGTAAGGTATATCCCAGCAGGCTGGCCACCTTGCTAAATAGATGGGAGGAGGGAACAGACAGAGGAACAAACGGGTAGAAGCGTTACAGGGGAAAGTAACGGAGACAGAGGTGGTCATTACAGTATGGTCAGCACATCAGGCAACAGTGAGGGAGGACAAGTGGTCGGTGCGATACAGATGAGCAGCAATCTCTAGCAGCCTGCGTACTCATAACTGAGTTATCTTCCTGCTGTAAGCACACCCGGAGTCAGCAGGCTGCCTGGGGTTGCAGCGGACTGGGCTACAGACCTAGCTGACTATCAAGGACAAGACATCCTTGCACTTGATGGTCAGTTAAATGTTTTCCAGTCTGTCTCCCATTAGAAATAAGGACTGCAGCAGCCTTAAGAACTAGATACTGCTGCTTTTGCACAAGGTCGATCCTCACACACAAATGAGAAATCCCAACAAAGTCCTATTTTGGATACTGCTAATAGGAAAATTGCTGGTAAGCTCTGTTCTTTGCAGGACAGGATATTAAGATGGGGCGTTACAACTTGATTTCACAACTGCTAAGTACCTGTAGGAGTGTATTATCTGATGTTTACTAGTACACGGTGTGGGAGCGTGGAATTAATGAAAACCACGGCGATGACTTGTTTTTAATGAAAATGGGCATGCACAAGGATGACTTTTAGATTTCCATCCACAAAATTTCAACTGACAAACAGAAAAACATCACTCTCCACATGGGTGAAAGAAGCAAATTAAAAAGAGGATTTTCTAGTAGCTTTTCATTTCTATTTGCAATCCTCCTTTAGAAAAGCAGTTTCTAAGTACACAGAATAAAAGGTTATGAATTCTCTTTCTCAACTAGGGGACGCATGAACTTCCTGCAGTATCTGCATGGTCAAAGATCAAATACAATAGCAATCAATAGTGCCATATTTGACAGTCAATCATTTCAAATAACTGAGAGAAAATTGCTTTTATTTGAAAAGGAGTAACAGAATTCAGTACAAAGGGTGAGATTCACTGCATTTAACTTCAGTGCTCAAAAAGTCAAGGTGACCAAGCTAGTCAGAGAGAGCGGTCTTCAAAGAAGTATTTGTTGACATCCATCTTGAAGTGGGAAGAACTGCTCTTTGGAGGGACTCTGGAGAGAGCTGGGTGAGGCTCCCCTCTTTCAGACAGACAATGGATGTTGAAATACATCCTAAGTGTAGTACTCATTACACAAAGAAGACATAAATGGGTAAATTTTGAAGTTGGAAGGGGAAATTGAGTTTTCTTAAGTGTTGTTTAGTTGAGAATTGAAGCACATACTCTAGAAAGGCCTCAAACCTTGACCTGAATCTCAGATCTGTTAGTATTTTGTCCTAATAAATCTCCTGCTTAAAAAGTGTCCCTGCTATTTCGTTTGCACGTTATTTTGTGCAATTCATTCTCACCAGGTTCTTCTGCATTAGAGTGACAGGCTCTATATTAAAAGCAGTAATACTCCTACATTTAGAAAGCCAGGAACTGAGTTAATTCAATAATAGCCAAGCTTATATGAACAGCTTATCATAAAACTCAGGACTCCACTGAATAAACGTGGCATTTTCATCAAAATCTGGATGGCTGCTTGGAGAAAGACAATAGAAATCAACCATTCAGGTGAATATTTCATTTCTTAAGTTGCTATAGAATGAGTCAAATAATTCAATGAAGCAAAATGATAATTAGAACACTCTCACAATAGAAAAAAATCTTTTGTTCTCTTTTTTTTTTTTTCCCCCCAGTCAGTTCCATTTTTGAATCCTCCCAAATAAAAGAACACATCTGAAGACTTACTTTGCTTTAAGTGTTTCCTCTTGGAAATTCCACTGAGGGTCTTCCACTAGCTGTAGTTCTCGTAAAACACTCCCTGGCTTGTAAGCTGCATTGATCACCATGCTGAGAACCTATTGAGAGAGACAAAACCGACAACACCGATGGGTTTAAAAGTAGTCCTTGACCGCAGTGAGTATGATCCCAGGTGCTGCATAGTCAGAAGCAACTCAGAGGTGACAATTTAGGTCTTGGGCTGCACAGGGTAAGTGCTAGATGCCACGTGAAGTGGTCCCAGATTGGATCAATGTACCAAGCTTATTGTAGACGACACATCAGTCTGATATGGTAACTGCATTAAATGCTGCTAGCTAACCCTCAAGATTTCCTGTTCATCAGCAATTTTTGAGACAGACCCTCTCACCCAAAGCAGATTCCATTTGCTGCATCCATACTAGCTCAATTTAATTAAAAATGAAAATACTTCTGATGGCTCAACCAGGTACAACGTCATGTGTACCACTACACACTGAAGGGGAAATTCAGTTACTTGAGGTCAGCAATATGCTTAAGCGTCTGAGTGCTGCATGCCTTGACTGTATTAACAGAATATTAATGAAGTCTACACAAAAAGAGTTTGCAGGAGGTGTGCCTGAAACCCAGTGTGTGTCCACTCCGTACAACAAAACACATGTGCCAATCCATTTAATCCAAAGTCTCTGCGCATAAAAATGATTCCTACTGTTGGCTCAGGGAAACCAAGCTTTAGTAGTCTACACTTGGCCTAAGGAGATAAATACAAGAAAAACAAATCTTTCAACAGCACCAGACCATGTGTTTGAACACTCTGCATTGTATGCACATGAATGACCCCATAGTGAGTCTGGATTGGTTTTGATATAATTTAGCTCTTTACCTAACAACCTATTCTTAATTCTTTGGGGGTCTGCAAATTATTCCAGTATGATGAGCATTAAGTTTCCCCAGCAACCATGAACATGGTTCATCAGAAATGAAAAAGTGACTAGGTCAAGAGCAATGTGTTTATGTTTTGGGGGGGGGCTGTTCTGGGTTGTTGTGTTGTTTTGTTTTGTTTTAAAGCCAGCAACCTGAGGATTTACTAGCATTTTGAAAACCTTGTAGGATTAATCATTTTCAGGCAAGGGTTTCACTTAATGCAGCGCAGTACCATGTAAAATGCCAGCGGTCTGAGTTGCTTGGCTAGGTTACTTAGTGGAAGCAAAACTGGATGTATCATTGGACCCTTGGAAAACACTACTCAAACCACTCTTCCAAAAAGCGCAGTTACAGGCACCTAAAGCAACGACTAACAAGAGCACCAACGTCTTGCGCAGCTCTGACCATCTGTACACCTCAGAGCACTCTATGAGGAAGGGCAGGAGCACACACCCTGCAAGGGGAAACTACAACACGGATCTACCCACAGCTCTCCAGCTGGTTCCCATCTCCTCACACAACCCGCTGTACTAGTTACTAAGCCATACTGATTCCCAAGAGAACAAAAGAAAGCTTAAAAAAATTAAAGTTGCAGAGTGCAATAGCCTTCCTTCACAAACGCTGGCTGATTTCTCCTGTTTGCATCAGCTGGACAGTCACATTACCTTTAAGTTTATTTTCTTTTTAAATAGAGAAAAAGTGTCTTAAAAATAGTAGGAGCAGTAAGCAATGAGGCTAATTAAGCTTTACAGCATATTTCCCTAAGATATGGTGGGTTATAGATCATCTGAAGTCTTAAAAAGACACCTCATTTTGTTTTACAATGTTACCATGGAAAGTTGTTGGCATAGATGGAAGAACTGTTCAGAAGTATTTTTAGATATTCTGACCCAAGAACTAATTCTGACCCATCCAGTTGCTCACCCACATCTTTTCCTGCCTGCCTCTCGCCGTACAAACTGATGGGGCGCTGGCCTCTGGCACAGAGACACCGAGACCCGATGTAGGGAAGCTAAAGGTGGTTTCCAAAAAACATCAAGTGCCTGGGTAGCTCCCACGCTCATTCACAACACAATGTGCTCCCCTCTTGATCAGCAAATCCAGGGAGTTATTTAACACCACGCAGCAGCTTGCCAGGAAAGCTCTCCTTAAGCACACTTCTACACCCACCTTGCCTGCCGGTGGGAAAGCCGGGAGCAGAAAGCGAGCACCTCTTGCTGACCAATTCCCACAAACAGCGCTGTCCTGCTCCTTTATCAGGGTGATGGTGTTTGTATGAGTTGTCAGAACAGTTAGGAAATGAGCAAGAAAAGAAAACCCAACCCTGAAAATAACAGTGCGGCCATGTCTGGGCATTATCCCAGACACCTAATCAACTCCAGCCCTGCAAAGACACCCACAGTACTAGGACTTCTCTCAAAGCTGGCTTGTCACCAGCAGGACTCTGTAAACTTCCAAATTCAGTTTAAAAAAAAAGTGTGTTTTATAAGCACAATCATTTCCCTCTAAGGGAAGAAAAACTGTTTTTTAAAATCTTTGGCTTTTACTCTTCTTGTATCTCAAATAAGTTACTGGGTTTGGCATTTTACTCTACAGCAGAAGTTCATCACCATGTTAACAGTGTTACCTTCTAACAACATTATTGCTTCATCTTACACACTAATAAACACTAGGGAGAAACAAGAACACTGGTCCTTGTTCAAAAATTAACTGTGATTAAAGCAAAAACAGTAAAGAAACCTAGACCAGTTTCCAACTTTCCAGCTTCCAGCCTTCTCTGGAGATGGAAAATTGCTTCATCTATATCAGACTGATCAAATTTTGATCTGATTCACTAAATTCCCTTTGGCTGGAGTGTGACTAGCCTGAGATTTTGGTAGTTTATCAGCCCTCTCCATCAGGAATGGTTTGGGTGCAGCCAGCGGTGCCTTGGAACAGCGGGGTGGATTAGACAACATCAGCCTTCGCTGCTACGCATCTACAAGGTTTTATTTTGCCACTGATGGATTTTCAGAGTCAAGGAGTTTGGAGTCACATCAGTGAGCATGATCTCTCAGAACCATCACAAGCCTCTAACCTTACAGGCACCTGACATCTTAGCTATTAAATTTTCCATGTCATAGATTTTCAAGTGCACAAGGGCCCTTTCCAGAGCATGTCTAGATGTGTCTGATGCCACTGGGCAGTTCAGCACCTTTCTCCCCATCGTATTCACACATTTCCCATCTCTCCACCCCTCTTCATTAATGGTCCCAACCCTGGATGAAGCCTTCTAAAGAGGCATCATCCATGAGGTGCAGTTCAAAATGCCATCACACCTCTTCTCCTGTTCGAGAGCCCAGTGATCAGCATCTTTATAAACTCAATGTCTCTCCTCTATCTGAGATATGAGCCCACATCTCCTACCTAACAGGAGAGAACCTAACTCCCAGACTAGCCTCAGGCAGGACAGTAAACAGTTATTTCACTTTACTTGGAATAATGAAGTGTCTCTGGGACAGAGAGAGAAGGGGGGGAAAAAAGTGTTCTTGGGATTCTTTCATTAGATGATCAAGGATCTAAAAGCGGATTTTTGTCATAGCCAAGGTTGTAGCACTTACGTGTTGACATGCTCATGACAGTCCATGACATTCCAAAAATACAGACATCCAGATCCTATGTTGGAGGAACTACTACAGATGAGCTGAAGTCCACAGAGGATGTTAGTGAACCCTCTTGCAGAAATGCAGTGTTTAACTCTCCAGACTATAGAGGTTTCTGCCATTCCATATCTGATCACTAATGATAACACTATCAGCCCGGCTCAATCATACACCTAAGGCTCAGCACAAGCTACTTAATTTTCTAAGCATCACGATTTAATTATGCAAATTCCTCCTAAGAAGTCATGCTGTGCTCCAAAAAATTAAAGTTGCAGAGTGCAATAGCCTTCCTTCACAAACGCTGGCTGATTTCTCCTGTTTGCATCAGTTGGACAGTCACATTACCTTTAAGTTTATTTTCTTTTTAAATAGAGAAAAAATGTCCTAAAAATAGTAGGAGTAGTAAGCAATGAGGCTAATTAATTTTTACAGCATATTTCCCTAAGATATGGTGGGTTATAGATCATCTGAAGTCTTAAAAAGACACCTCATTTTGTTTTACAATGTTACCATGGAAAGTTGTTGGCATAGATGGAAGAACTGTTCAGAAGTATTTTTTAGATATTCTGACCCAAGAACTAAATCTAAAGCTGACTCTGTCTATTTTAATTTAACTTAAAGTTAGCATTTATTACATATCTGAGATACTATACAGTCACTATTTTTCAGGCCAGATGCAGTTGTTGGATGGCAATAGTTGATGCCTCCACTGTATTTGGCTCCAAGTTTCAACTTCTTTTCCAAACAAGTATGTCAGGAATGAGATAAGCTTTGCAGCTGATGTTAAACAACAGGCATTACCACCTCACTCGCCTCTCGGGGTGAAAGAAACCACAACAAACCACTGGTCCCATAAGAAACTTGTGCTGGCACCAGGAATAACAAACAGCTAGGCTTTAAAAATAAATTTGGCAGTACACGGCAAAAGAGTTACTTGTCACTCACCTAAGGCTTTGCATGGATGCAACGACACACGCACAGAATTAAAATCAGTATTTTTCATTATACTACCAAACAAGTTGCAATTGCTCTCAAGATTTTGCTGGGAAATCTTGCTCAAGAGCTGCCATTCTGGCAGGCACCTTAGCAGTTTCCTCCCTGCAGAGCTCACCACCTCTGAATCCAACACTAGAACAAAGCAGTTGGGCAGAAACCAGGGGGATTCAGTAACAACGCAGAATTCGGCCTGTTCTGTTGGAAAAGAGGTGCTGCACAAAAGCAAACCCACCTGTGCTGCTTCTCTCCTGACACCCCAGGTGAGAACAGCCCATGCTACTCAAATGGAAGGAGAACCTCCTAGTCCACACTACAAGGGTGTCTCCTAAGCTTGTTTAATTCAGAAGCAAGCAGTACTGATCCATAGCTATCTCACTATTAGCACGCAGGCAATTAGCACCAGTTTTAGAGTGGGATCCAGGATGATGCTTTACAGCATCAGTGATGGAGGTAAGGAAAGACAAGACCTTGGGGGAAAAGAGGGCCGAGGAGTATCATGAACTATATTTGTGCTGCATTTTTTGATACAACCCTCGTGGTTGAGTGTGGAGGAAGGAAGAGCATGGGGAGCTACTCCCTCAGCATTCAGCCAGAAGCAAGGTCTCCCATCACCCCGTGCTAGTGGGGAGACGACATCTGCTCTCTTCTTGCTCTAGGTAATCCAGGTCAGGAATGGGGCAGGAGTTGGTTGGTCAGATGTTTTAAGTCTGGGGTTTCCATCAGTGCCAAACACAGCAGCATCTGTGTCACGCAGACCGCTGCCCACTGTGAACTGGCTGGTGGCCGGCACAGATTTTTGACTAGAGTTTCTCTGAAGGCTGTGAGTTACAGCTGGAGAGCAGGGTGATTTAAAAAGCTCTCACCAGACTGCTACTGACTCTGCTCTTCCTTCGTAGCTGTTGTTTTGAACTGTCTTTCCCACCCTCCCCTGTGTGCTCCCCAAGTAAAGTCCATGTATAATTTATCTGTTCCAGACAAGTTATGCTGATGCATAATTTACAACGGCCTGTAATTCTTCTATATAGTGAGAGTGAGATAATTATAATGCATTTGCATTCTTGGGGCCACATCATCAGCGGGTTTCAAGTGAGACAAAGGCACCAAACTCAGCACCGAGACTGGGTTCGGAGGGATGGCGACCCTCGTGAGCTCTTTGGCTGTGCAAAGCCTTGTGGTTGTGGTCTTGGGCTGGAGGAGGCATCTGCTGCACTATTCTCATCAGCAGCTCTGCAGTCCTTTCGGGTGCTCTGGCAGCTGCCACACATCTTCATCTCGATGCAGGGATGTCTTCTTTGCCACTTCTTGCCTCCTCCACATGCTGGGTACTCCTATCCTCCCCCCTGCCCATGGTTCTCTGAGCTGCTGACACCTCTCTCATCTCAGCAGCAGCTGACAGGAACCAGGTGTATCTCCCCTACAGCACCACCCTAAATGCCTTCTCTTCACCCTTTCCAGAATTTGGACCTGGTCCCCGTGGCCAGAATGAGCTTGGATTTATCTGTAAAATACCACTGACCAATGCTGGGCCATTGCTACTGTCCTGCTCCTTGGGAAGTCATTTGTGTCTCCAAAAGCAAGATGCTCATGTCTCATTGACACTGCTATTTTCTCCTTCAGTAAGTAATTCTGTAAGGAGGCAGAGCAAGAGAAAACAGACTTTCATAGGAAATTCAGGGTGTTTTCCACAGCTGGTAATTGGTCTCATTCTTGAGGAATTTGTAGAAGCTGGTGTTAGTCTATGCAGCAAAGCCCTAAGACACTAGGGGAGGACCTGGCAGAAGCTTATGTTTTCAAAATCCAAATTCCAGGAGGAAAGGAGGAAGAAACATTAGCATAAGTATTGCCTGTGAAAGCCTCTTGTTTCCCCCATGTTGCTTTTTCATCGCCTGTTTTTCACATAGCAGCAGATTGCTAAACTCCCCACCAGCAAGCCGCTATGGACTTGCTTTCAAATTTGGCAGCTGTCAATTTTTGCTCTGCAACCACTTTATCCTGCTTTCTGCTGAGGGCTATTTTTGACTTGCTCCTTTGAGACCCAAGTGTCCTACCTGCACAGGCTGCTGGATTACGGGACTCTCTTCACGGCCCAGCTTTCAACCATGCATGCTGTTGTGCAAAAAGTAGTGCATGTAGGTGATGAGGAACAGCACGGGGACACATGAGTCACTCTACAGTACAGTACAGAGTTGGTTTTGAAAGTGGTGGCTGATTTGGGAGGAATCTCATCTTTCAGGTGTTTCTGTTAAGGACTGGGATTCATCTCATTTCAGACAAATGCAAACATCCTGAGCTGGGCACTGAGAATCTTGAAAATACATCAGATAAATGGACATGTAAGAGTTCCCATGCTTTTCCACCAATGGTTCAGATCTGCCCCTGCATCCTCATAAAGTGGGGCTCATGTAGGTACAGACCTGAAAGCTGGAAGATCTGGATTTCTAGAAGACCCAAGTCATACTGAAACAGCATCCAAGGCACCAATGGCACCCTGTAATCTTTGTGGAAAATATTTATGCATTTTTTCAACAAAAGGTCAACAGCAAGCGCTCAACATTCTGGATCCAGCCCAAAGCAAGCACTGATTGGGTCAACTGGGATGAAGCAAACAGATGGTGGTGCTCTGCCAGCCCTGCTGCGTGGGATTAACCCATCCACCATAAGCAAGCGCTGGCCACACCACAGCTTCCACTCAGTATATTGCACACATCCCTGCTCGGCTTTCTGTCCTGTTCACTTTGGATCTTAACGGTTTGGGTCCCATCAGACCATGGTCACATACACAAAGGTGTCACGCACACTGAACCCGCTGGCCCAACAGCATCATGGATGCCGAGAAACAGGTTGATGCAACAACCACAGAGGTCCCCTTTGGCATGGCTCTGGTCAGAACATTAATTCTCTTGCACACAGTTAGATGAAACTTGCTCCCAACCAACAGAACTCTCCATGTTTCAAAAATGTCATCTCTCCCATCGAAACCCGCAATGCATATACGTACCCTCTCCTCCCAGTTTGCAGTTTTGACTTAGAGAAACCACTAGAGAGCTCCAGGACAATTTCAGGTGCATTCTTTTGAAATTCTGGCCCTGACAACCCACGATCCATGCTTTCCCCTGAAATCCCCCCCCAAAAGATAGCTGAGCCGTACCTCTTTGAGGACCAGCACGCACTTGCCAGGCCCGACAGACTGAGGTAGCTCTGCTATTCTGCCTTTGTTCAAATATGGACCTGAGAAGCAGCGGTGGTTGATGTAGAGCTGGGGGCAGCAGTATCTCCCATTGATGGTGCCTGCAAGGAGAAAGTAGCATTGATGTGCGTGTAGCACTTTTGTAGAATATATCAAGGGCCCTTCTTCCTCCTAGATGTGGGAAGGATGGGAGAACAGTAAAAGAGGCACAAAAAGTCTTCCCTGAGATAGAAGGTAGAGAAGCCTTTGTTACTTGAATCCATTCAACACGGGAAAAGCAAGTGCTTTTAATAGCAGCTGATTTGGCTGCACACCCTACCACAAGGAGAATCAGGAAAGGATTTAATTCACAACATGACCCGAGGCTGTTTCATCATTCACGTCGCAGACGGACGTGAGCGTCTCGGTTGCAACTTGCCGGAAAGGGAATGTATTAGCTGCCTCTCACAGATACGGAATCGGCTTAGGGAGAAGATTCAGGTGGAGAGCTCTACAAACCCCTTTTCAGCTACAGTCCAACCCAGTAAGCACCACGGTGCCATTCCCCTGACCCAACATGGGTCTACAGCTCAGTCTTCTTTGTCTGGGCTAACTACTCTGGGCTCCTTTATAGCCCGTGGAGAGAGGTGGGTATGTCTAGATGTGGTTCACGTGCCACCCAAGTGGTTATCCACTTTTTGCTTATCATACCCAAAAAGAGCTATTTTCTCCCCATTTGATTGTAACGGGCCCCCGGGATGTTGGCTTAGATGCCAGTGTGCGTCCTGCAGTCTGCTGAAATAGAGTGAGTTAAATCCTGCCCCTCCTGCTGAGTCTACACAATTAACTGGATGAATATGGCTCTCTCAGAGCCTCCTGCCATTGCTAAAGGGGAGAAACATTCGCCTTTAGCAGAAGTAGCAGCCATGCCACACAGTCTTGATGCTAACACAGGGACCCATTAAGTCCTGGTGTAAGTAATTTCATTTATGCCAATTAAAAAGTTGCATCCATCTCCACGAGGGCTTCATGAGCCTGGCGCTAAAACACTGTTAGCTGAAACGGGCAGTCTGCAGGGGGACTCCGATAAGCTCAGCAAGACACGATGTTCACATGCAGAGGACCAGACCCTCACGAGCTGTACCTCAGACTCTTCGCACTGTTGGTGGGTCCATACCACCTCACACCTCCCAAGGATGTGGTCCTGTCTCCCCTCCCGTATGACACACTTGCTCCCTTTTTGGGGTAACTCCTCCTCCATACAGGCAACGGGTCCTTGAAAGAAGGATCACGCTGGTGCCAAGCAGCCTTACCTGTTGTGTCTGGCTGAGGAACCGGGCAGAGGTCATGAGGTATTTTCTCAACAGGCACTGTGGATGGTAACCTGGTAAACAGCAATTCAGCGTATTTAACAGTGTCAGACAGGGCAAAGGGGCAGAAGCAGCCTTCAGGCTGGACCAAGAGATAAACCAGCACCTGCCTGACCAAGGAATGAAGATACCTCAAATGCAACCCTGCTTCTGCACAGTTTAGCATAACCCAGGGCTAGCATATTGCAGAACAAGGAGCCAGATTCACCCCTCCTCCAAAAATACACTCTGGTCTGTGAGATTTAGCCCTTCAGGCTGCAAACAGTCACACGTAAGTTCCTTAAATTCTAGTTTCTAGAAACTGCGAGGGCTAGATAGGGAAATGCCTTCTTGGTACGTACCCATCTTTCATAAGAATCCCTTACTGGCCATCAGACACTGGCTACACAGTCCCAGCTAGTAAAATATTTCTGTTGCAAAGACTTTCTTATATGTTCACAAGCACTTTAGATTTAAAACCACCCCCTTGCCAACTCTGCCGCAGTATCTGGGCAGTAGTTAGCAAAGTCACTCAGCTGCTGTGTTATTATCTTCCCTGGAAGACCTGATGCACCTCTCTAAAAATATCACCTTAAACAACAAAAACTTACTGCTTTTCTGGTTGCACAACTGCAATTCTTCTCTTCCTTCGTGCTGTAAAAATGAAGCAAGGAAGAAAAAAATAGTTTCGTACTCTTCTGTCCTATAAAGTATATCCATAACGCGTAAAAAGCTGTATAAATGCACTGACTATAAAACGACTTCTAACACAATGAAATGGTACTTAATTACTATCGCCATCTTTTCTGGGTATTTTTTAAGCAAGTCACTACATCATTAAAACCTACTTTAAAGATGTAATAATACATTTAATCTTTCCTCTGGAATGCTAATATTGTGTTTTATGGGATCAGCATAAAAAAAAACCTAAAATAAAAACACAACTATTTTTCCATACAGAAACACATATGGATAAGATTACATTTTACAAGCGTGATTACCTCCAGTATAATTTATCCCTAGCTATAAATTGAGATAAGGCTGCATAATGTTGCCATAGCAGTATTCTCCCAAATTAGGCCCTGGCTGCCTGATTTTTAACTTAAGCATATTTAACTCTTCAAAAGGGTTGACACATTTTAAAATTTGCCTTTCAGATGTTAATTAATATAAACAACGAGGCTAATTTTTCATTTGGTAGCTTGAGATCGGAGTTGGATAGTTTCTGCGAGGAGCAAGAGACCAACACCAAGCCACTGAGCACTCATGAACGGCCTTCAAATGCAAACGGAAAGAAATTTGCCTTAATACTCACTGGAGGCAGGACAAAAAACCCCTATGGGCTTAATTGTGCCAGGAGAGATTTAAATTAAAACACTAGAGAAATCCCTGAGCTGCTAAGGGCAGTGAAATAACGGGACAGATGCCCTGGAAAGGGGCAGAAACTCCATCCCAGGAGGCCAGCAAACGTTTCTCGATTTAGGTGGAGGAGATCCTGTTTTGGAGAAAGAGCACCTGGATGGCCTCTTCGTGCCCATTCCACCCTATATTTTATGGGGTTTTTCCCAATTTGAGGTCCTGTGTCCCTAATTCACCCAGCTGCCCGAGTGAACTTGGCTCAGTGCAACAAAACCTGTTTCCACCCCGACAACCCCACAAGCCACACTGTGCAATCCCACACCACGTAACAGCCTTTCCCAGCGCAAACAATCCCACTTTTAGAGACCGATCACACAGATAAGTACAAATTCCATAATACCAGTGACGTGGAGTCTCGTCACTAATTAGATTCATTACTATTTATTACAGTACACTTACAGCCTGGTTACCAGTCGGCTAGTTAGGGTGGTAGTTTCGAAAATTGGATTATAGACATGAGAGAAACTCCCTGATAAATCCGTTGATGCAATATCTATGCTGCTTGAGGTTTCCAGGTACTTACAAACAGCTTTGTGTGGTGGAGTTAGGTTATAAGCATTCGCTTCACACCAGCCAACAGGGAAAATATCCATAGACTCTACATCAACTATGTACTCTGGCGAGGGCATCTGTAAACCTATAAACACAAATTTATAATGTAATTTAGACACAGGAATACCAAGCTCAGAGCCATTCGAGCATTCATCATGAACCAAGGGAAGCAAATGATGGAACATGTAAAAATAAATCTGCTTCCCTGCATCAAAATCAGGCACCTTCAATTCTGCACAGACAGCAACGATAAGGCTGTTGCATTTACAGTGCAATGTGATTCCAGAGAAAATCCCCATTAAGAGCACTCTAAGGGTGTGCAGTGAAGCAGTCAAAAGCCAGTGAGGTTAAACATGCATGACTTTCCTCAACAAGACGGCCTGATTGCCCTCTTGGGTTTTTTTGTAGTTGTACAAGCAAGTTAGCAGAACTTGTTGGGTGCTTGCTTTTAACAGTAAGTGTATACGGGCTTTAACAGGATGGTAGTTAATGTGATAGGCCTTTATGCCCCAATGTCCCCCTGAAGCTTTTCTGTCTAGTTCTGCCCTTGAGTCACTGTTTTTAAGGGTGGGAGAGGGCCACTCTTCGGTCTAGAAGTGCCATGAATTCTCCTAGGGCTCCTCACTGCACATGGAACATGAGCTGATCACCCAACAAAGGAGAGGCAGTAAAAAAACCCCAAGTGGGACAGATGCGCTAAGATCTCTGGCATAATACTGACCCCAAAACCCCACTGAAAAGCTCTGCTTAAAGCAAATCTCTTCCAGTTTGGTTATTATATCTCCTTTAAAAGACACTCTCCTGTCTTGGTTTATGTGGGTCGTATTCAAAGCCCGTGGCAGCAAATGGAAATATTCCCACTGGCTTTGAGTTCTTTTGAAAACAACTCTGGGTCCCGAGTCAAGACACCATTTAATTACTGTAATTCAAGTCTATCTGCACTGGCACAGCTCGGCCAGCAACTTCACCCCCCTCTGCCATTTCCACCCTACGACCTATAGCTCCACCACCAGCATGACATGATCTCCTAATAAAAGAGACCAAAGGATCAGCAGCTTCCCTGCAGCATCCTCGCCTTTGCATGTGTTACAGCATCTTTGCCTCCTGCTTAATGCAGCAGTGTTTGACTGTGCACAGCTAGATGACTACGGGGAACTTCCCACTAATGAATGTTCATCAAGGGCTTGCAGTTAATTGAAACAGTAATTGAACTTTGTGATGGGAATGGCATTGAGGCTGAGATGCAGCATTTGGAGCAATCTTAGCTCTACTAATAAACTTGCTACACTTTGAGACTGTGTGGCTGTGCGAAAACCCAAAGGAAGCAGGAAAACAGGTGCTGGTGCTCACACTGCTGGAGGAAATAATCATGTCTGGGTAGATTCATGGATGTCTTCATGGTACTTCTCTGAGTCCTGCATGGTGTTCACGCATTATACACTGCAGATACAGTCTCTGTTTCACCAGGACACAGGGAAGGGAATAGGATGGCATGAACGCACATGGTAACAGGACACAACCTGCTCACAGGAGCAGCTGAGCCTCAATGCAAGGTCTCAGCAGCTGGCATTCCCTACAAAACCATTTCCCTCCACGACAAAACATCAAGAGGCCACTGCTCCGTTTGAACTCTCCAGTGGGCAAAACATTTTCATCTAACACCACAAACCCAGCCAAGGAACTGAGGTGAGAACTGTTGAAGTCAGTGGCAAGACACGCACAAAGTGAGCAAGCCACGGAGCAAACCTTAAACAGAGCAAGAGATCAACACAGTTCCCACTGAAATTTCACCAGATCTTGGATAATCCATTATTTTCGTTACTGTAACTGTTCTACAGTGTTATTCTGACCACATAAGCATCAAATGTACCTTCCTGCTTGCAAGCAACAACAGATGTGACATAAACATTTTGGTTTTGACGTTCACAGCTGCAGCCACCCTTGACGAGCAAGGAAGCACCATAATGTCTGTTCTCCTGCAACATCGCTATTCCTCTTGTAAGACATAATCACAGTTACTCTGCCCTCCCAGGCACTACTTCTTCCCTCTAGCATTGATAACCCTGCCTCCCACTTCTGACATCTCACTGCTTCGTTTGGCCTCACTCACACAACTGGAAAACAGCTTGTTTGAGGCGCATTAGTTTCATCGGCTGCACTTTACGCTGCCGTCTCCTCAGACTAAGAAACGTCCGTGAGACTTGAGAGGTTAAATGAAAAAGGAGATAACAGGGAGACTGGAAACAGGGTGAGGAAAACTTCCATCTCCTGCTATGAATCTTATAGGATGGGCAGAATAGAGCAGCAACTCTAGAAAACTCTCAAAGGGAAAATTATGGAAAATCTCCCTGGAGAAGTGATTAACAAAAGGGTTTTCCTCAAATTCCTAGGCTGTGCAGAGAGTGTACATTATTACTTGTATAAATTCACACCAGAAAGCTTCAGCTTTAAAATCTAAAATGAACCAGTAAAAATTAACAATGCAGATGATGAGTAATAAAGTAGCAGAAAGTGATGGGATGTGCACAGCATCGGATCAGCCCTATGCTTCTTTTCCACCACGGGCGAACTATATTGCTGCTCATTAAATGCTCGCCCTGAAGTTTACAGAGTTTTGCTACTGTACAAAGCGTGATTTATTAAGCAATGTTCCCTCATGTCTAACTCGACACTGCTTAACTACTGCATCCTGGTTTATGGCTGCAGTTTGGGCTGTCAAACAGTGAAACCGGGAGGGCAACAATGAAAGCGTCAGACGTGCCCATGATTAATGGTGGGACCCGAGATCTTCAGCGATGGGCTCCCATGGTAGTTGGGGAGTCTTGCTGCTACCAGAACATAAATAATCAGTTAGAAACAACAGTGTACTAATGGAGTCAAAAAAACCATGCCACAGTTCAAGCCACATTTATTTTACAACTCTGCAAGCAGTGTTTTGGTGGCGTTTTTTTTTAATGCCTAGTTTTAGCCTAACACTATGCATACTGTAGTCATGTATTCCAAGAGCAGCAAAGATTTCTTTTTATTTTTGCAGTCTTTTGCATCTTTTCCTTTTACTACAGCTCATTTTATCCCTGGTATTGAGATATAAAACAAGCATAAAGCACCTATATATCAGAACTCAAAAGACAAGGAGATGCACACAGGTTTTTTTTTTTTTTACGACAAGTTGTAAAAAGCATCCTTTAAGAAATTAAAAGAGCAAAAGGCAGGGAGAAAGAGATGAGGGAGGGGAGCAAGGTGGGAGTGTGTGGCACTCTCCTTGCCTTTATCCAGGGTCTTGGAGGACTAGTTGAATTTAAAGCTTCAAGAAATAGCACTCCCTATTCGCTATAATGGGCAAGAGTTTAGTGAACGCTGTGTCCCTCTGTAAGTATTACAGCTTAGGAGAAAAAAAAACAAACCCGAAGGATTCAAAAGCCCATAAAATCTGCATATAAAAGTGAGGGCACACGGCCATTTAAGAAGGTGAGTTGCCAAAATGGGCCCACTTCCTTGACCAGATGGGTGTGAATTTGACAACAGCCTTAGTGAGAACTGAATTTCAAATAAGCTTTGACTCAAACTCTTTAATAAAAACACTTGCCCCATGTCCAGACCAGCCTGCAGATGAGCTTTAGCTATCTTGAGTCAGAAGGCAATCAGTTGTCTCACAGGACAAAACCAAAATCTGCCACTGCACACAGCTCTACACAGAGCAAAGATGCAAAGTCGTACCTGCTCTGGACACTGGAGATGATCGCAGAGGAGAGAAAGTGCCTGGGGTGACAGCTATACATCAGGGATGGAGAAGGATGACAACCAGCTCTCCTACATTCCCCACCTCTGCTTCATTTGGGCACACTCCTGCAGCTCTGCTCTCCCCAAATATTAGCCAGCCCGAACCACGAGGCTTAGCACCAAAGACAAGAGAAGCACGAATGATTTGGTTTGACAAACTTTAGGTCAAGAGGAATCTTGACGTTGAGTTATAAATCTCTGAGAAATGGGATTCATCACAGAAGCATCACAAAAGCCTTGTCTACCATATAATGCTACTTTTGTAGAGCTCAACACCACAGAACATCTCCCTTTCTTGTATTTCAGAGCAAGCTGCTAGCACAGATGAGGTACTTCGGGTTACTTGACAATGTTTTTACTATCTTTGATTAGAGACCTTTCCTCTTGTACAAATTGCACTGCACATTGTCAGATGCCGAAATACTTCTTGGGTTATTGTAATCAACGCAGCACAATGCTGAAGGTGATGTGCCAGGTGATGATGAAGCAATACAGTTGGTATCAATCTTCCACTGTCTTCCATCCCCAAAACACTGAGCGCTGAGCATGCTGCAGAGAATGGAAGGTGACTTTTTCTGCAGATCAGGCTTGAAACTTCAACTCACGTGGGATCTCTGCAAAAACCCCTTGTTGCAACCCCTGCTCCTCTGTCCTTTCTGGAAATCACATACCTGAGCATGGTTTGTTCTCCCACTACCCTCTCCTACCTGTTTCACCCTGGAAAGGCCAAAATAAACTTGCATTATTCTCTGAGAATGAGGGTTCACACTGCTTTTGCAGAATTAATCTTGATAGCAGCCCATATTTAATAGACTTCAGGGGAATTACTCATGAGCCACCATACTGACCCCACACAGCAACAGAGAAGACACGGGTGACTCCTTTCCTCCTTACAACCGTCTGCTACAGAGTTCCCACAGAGCAAACTGGTGTAACTGAATTTAGCAAAGGAAAGACTTGCTCTGTTTCCTTTTTTGTTCTGCTCTCTGCAGGACAACCGTGCGGAGTTGAGCCCGGCAGAAGCTTTGTTTCTCCCCATCCCTTCTTCCTGGTAGGCGACTGGGATACCAGTGACGTGCACTGCCACGGAAGCTGCAGAGTATGACTGCCCCTTGCTTTCCTCCCAGCTCCCTGAGACAACATGCCATTGTATTTCCTGGGATTGTACACAGAAAGTATTTAGCAGATGCTGCTCTTTCATCGGCCCAGTTTCTCAGGTATGCCTTGAAAGCGTAAGAGGAGCTGCACAGCATCTACCTATCAGCATGTGACTGCAGGCAAAGGGGTGGAGGTATTTTAACATGTCTCCCCGACCCATCACGGTAGCTCAACCAAATGCATTTTATTTTGCAAATGCGAGGGTTCCAGCAAGATTTTTTTCCCCGTGTCAGGGCTGGCAGCACAAGGGACAGCACATCTGCCTTATGCATTCATCAAGAGGCGGAAGCACAGACCTTACAGAAGTGCCCTTGGTATTTTCACGGTTCTCCAGAAGAAAGCAAAGCAGCACGTTACATTTGCAGTTGATGCTGACCCAATTACTATTGATTTCAGAGGCAAACTGAAGCTTTTATAATCACTACAGATGAAGCCAGTAGCTTCAAAACCAGTGTGTTACCTTCATGGGTAAAGATCAAACTATGTTGTGGCGACGCATGCTACGACAACTTTATGGTTTATCACAGTGCCCATGAAAAAAATAGAATGAGCATGGCTTTCTGCTCCCAGTGACTTTACAAATAACACTGTTTTTAAAGCAATAAGAAGAAGAATCCCTGTGTTGTTCTAAATTACACTTGCTTAAGAAGTCCTGTCCCAGATGAATTGAGAAAGAATGTCCCAAGAGCAAAGCCACATTAAAAATGAGCTCATCTGTACTTCATTTCAAGAAAGGTAGAAATAGAAGTTTTGGTACAGTATGATGCTCTATTACTTCTTCAGCACTCTCCTGATACTGCTTGTACAGTGGCGGTGTTCTCTGTGGGATAATGGCTTTCTAAAATCCATACTATAGAGTTAACACCTGCAAGAGCGCTCTCAGATCAACAAAGGAAATTATACAATCACAGAGAGCAGGGATGTGAGCATGCCATGGCCATAGTGAGGAGCAGCGTATGTTGCAGAATTTTAAGGACTAGGTGAAAAAAAAAAAAGAGTGAAAGGAAGAGGAAGGAAGGAAGGGAGAGAGGGAGGGGGACAGGAGATCCCATGAGAGCCTGTTGGAAACCACAGTGGAAGTCTCAGCTGCAAAAGTGAGGCAAACATCCATTCCCAGAATGACAGTCTATCATGATGGCAGTGAGGAGGTTTCTATCATCAGTGGAGATCATGCTGGTGAGAGTCCACACGGATGGGAGGGTGGAAGGTCTTGTGGCTCCCTCGTGGAGTGAGCAGGGGAAGATAATTCTCAACGACATTATTATTGGTCAATGTGTAGAAAAAGGAAAGGCTGGAGAAAGCAGTATTGTGTAGACAATGAAGGACAAAATTAAGAGCTTTTGAATGAACCACACAAACACAATAAACTTTGACAGAACATACCTTCAAGGTGAAGCCACATTAACCGTCCTTTAACTGAGGTGATAGAAGCGACACATATCTCTGCAGGGTTCCTGGGGTTCACCGCCTCCAGCTTCATGTTCTTAGTAAAGCCACGGCTGAAGGACGTCTGAAAGAGTCAAGGACCAACACTGAAGCATGGCACTGCAGCACTGTATGACATTAATTAGGCTTTCACTGGGAAGCATAAAATTATCATGGTTTGCTTTTCACTGGGCGTGCAGGCCATGCTGAAGAACACGAAGGCATCCAGATTCAAAAAGGAGCTGCCCTGGACACCATATGAAAAACCAAAGATGGGAACACATCACGAAGCAATGTATTTCATGGTCTGCTCCAATCCCTAACTCTCAGACACTGGGAGGAGGTTACTTCACACCAGCTCCAAGTATATTTGAATGCTTAGTAGTGATGCATTTGCTGGCCATCGTTGGTGAAGAGACACTACACAGAGGGTTCCCAGACTTGCTGCACTTGAGCATTTCTCATCCATCTGGCCTGAGACCACAGAAACTTCTTCACACATTTAGTTGCCCAGGCTCACTGAGGCTGGAGAAATCTGAGTAACCTATTCGAGTATGTTTTTCTTCATGGGGTATTTTAAGCTCAATGTATAAGAGCCTTCTCTGTAGACTCCAGGTTCATAAATTCATCAGTTGCAGGTGGGTGTAGAAGGAGACAGTTGTGTTTACTGCCACAGCATAACCTCCGTACACTTAAATACAGCACCAAAGAAATAGGTCTTTCACAGGTTATCTGAGGCCCCCACCGCCCTTCCACTCTTCTCCAGTGAAGACAAAGCCAGGCCAGATACTACAGCAATGATCCCCAAATCAGTGGTCATCACCCCGAATAAGAAACACAGGACCAAAACGTTGGGTCATGAGCTTGTAAGAATGCAGCATCCCCCATTGTACCAAGAGTTTGGGAGCCTAAGAAAAGCTGCAGTTCCTATCATTCTGGTACCACTGCTATAAGCTAACATATGCCTTGGCAAACTGCTTCAGTCTGAGGGTGGCCTGGCCATGTAATAGCAGCAGGCTGCTGAGTCCCTCCTGCTCCTGACGGAGCCAGGATGGCTGAACTCTATCATAACAAACCCATGTGCCTGTTTGTAGCCATTGCAAGTGATCCCAAGTGCAGAAGGACCCCAAGACCCCACAACTCTCTCCAAAATCTTCCCCCCAAGCTCAGCCTCAAGTTACTTTTCACCTACTTTCATCCTTCCCTCTGTCCCTTCCAGTGTTCTCTCTCCCTTCATTTGAGGTCAATCCCTTCCTAAGATCCCCACCACCACTATCCCTGAAAACACACTAATGCGATATTTGTGACTACGTCACGGCTCCCTTTCCTTGCATCTTCCTCCCCTCTCTCCCAGCCATTTTGCAACACATCAGCTCGGAGTGTTTGCATCTCTCTGTTTGCACACGACAGCATAAAAAGGTTCCCTCTCTTGGCTGAGATTTTGGCTAATAATAATTAGGATGGGTAATAACTGTCACTGACTCAAAATCACACCAATCTCTCATCCAGTAACTGAAAGTCAGACTCAAATTCAACCCTTCTGATATTTGTACAGCACCTAGCACCACGGCCACTTTACCTTGAACAATCACTGGGAGCTCTTTGTGAGACTATAAACTTCTGGATTTGGGTTTTCTGTTCATCAAGGGGCCTACCAAGAAAGTGCCGCTAGTCTCAAACATTGCTTGGACTGTCACAAGTCTTGCTCAGCACACAGATCAGCCTCACCCTGTAAAGGCTGTCAACGTCCAGGACTGCAGAAAAGCAGGGTGAGTTTGTTTAAATGCCTTTTATGTTGCCTAACAAGGAAACGTCATTTATCATGACACCGGAAAGAAATTTCATTGCAATTCGGTGCTGGAGGCTAATTTATACAGAATCAATGGCAAAGCAGTTAGTTGGGAGTTTATTTTACTAAGCATTTGGTCATGTCAATCCATTTCATAACTGCTTCTCCTTGTTAAATATCCCCCCCAGGGAAACAGCTACAGCATATCCACTTCCAGCACCACGCCTTGCTGCTCTAGGTAGAAGATGTGCTTGCAGTACAGCTTCTATCAAAGAGCCGCTCACAGCCAGGAAACAAATGGACCGACCTGCCAGGGAGGCTGCACAAGCGACAACAGCGAGATTACATCTCTCTGCAGAGAACTGTGTTATCAAGAGTGAAAGAATAACAGACACATGTTCATCTGATGAATGTTTCCTTAAAAAAAAAAAAAATAAAGTGCTTAGACCTGATTTAATCTTCGGAGGATATTCTGCAGAGACTATTCTCAAGGCTGACAGGGCTGAGAGCATAGATCCATTACTCGACAAAGAGAGATACGAAGAACAGGGAGGGGTACTTGCAGAAGAGAATAAATGCAACAACTGTCCCGCTCTATCAGTGCGATAACAGCATTGTCCAGCTTCCCTCAGCACTTTTAGAAATCTTTGCTTAAAGTCCCTCAAGGCACAGGGTTTTGCACAGAATGGCACAATAAAGGGGGTAAAGAAGTCCTAATTATGATTTGATTCCCAGGTCAAACGTTGTTGACCATAGAATGGTTTGGGTTGGAAGGGACCTTAAAGACCAT